TTATTTGTTATCTCGTTATACTTATGTACGGAATAAGTATTTATAAGATAAATACTTATAAAATTTTAAATTCCGCTGCAAACTCTGTTTCGTACAGTATATCGAACCCAGCAGTGGTATCAGAGCCACGTTACAATTTGCATCTTTAAAATCAGATTTTGATTTGAAAAATTGTTAAAAACACGAACTGGGATAAAAATCGAATAGAGTATTCGAAAACACGAGTCGTGTGACATAAAATTTTTCTGAAATTTTTCATAGTCACTTTCGTATTTTTCACACGAGTCGTGTGAGTGAGCCACACGAGTCGTGTGACTGATCAGTGATCAAAAAAGAGCTGTTTTGACTTAATATAAGTCATTACTACATCAACATATTAAATTGGTGAATTTATATGTTGAATTCATGGAATGAATAGTTAATTTAGGGATGATCACGAGCCTTTTATGAATGAATGATTGCATGTTTTATTCAATATGATTGAATGTTTCATTTTATTCAATGAGATTGAAGGAAGGTAATTTATTGAGACCTGCGAGTCTCTTGAATTATGATTTGTAAAATTTTAAATTTTTGTATCGTTATAAGATTAGATCAAGGTGGAGACCGTTCGATGCGAAAGGCCCACGCATGTGTGGGTAATTTTACAAGTTGTAAATCTCGAAGGCCTGTGCTTGTACGGGTAGATAAAATAAATTGTAATTGAAGTAGTTCTATTTATTTGTTTTATCACGTACATAGGCATAGACCCATTTTGGCTTGAATGAGTCGTATAGGCAAGGACATGATCATCCCACCATATGCATGCATTAGATGTATGATAGGTTTATTTATGTTTTCGATTCATGCGATGAATGATGCGATAAATAAACACACGTAAAGATGGTAATAGATGAGATCTAGGGAACCCTAACGAATTAATTTGATTAATTCATATCAAATCAATAATGGATAAAAATAAGTTGGAACTTATTAATCCAGGCCTTCTATCAAAAGTAGACGACATGAGATGCTACGATGTTTTATCACTGACCATGAGTCGTCGGGTGGTTTTATGTCGAAAGTTGTGATCTCTACTAAGTATAAGAGATACTCATGAGATGGATTCCTCTTTGTGTTGACCATGAGTCGTGGGACATTCTGGTGGGCCGTTATAATGAATGTTTGATGGGTTTGATTTGACACTGAGTAATATATACGGTCATAAAATTGAGGTATATAAGGAAAGGTGAGGCAAAACATCTTGAAGGTTGTATAGTGATACATTTGTCAAAAGTTGACTACCAGTATAAATGTTCCATGCGTACTCATAAAATTAGGATATGAAATATTTTTATTGGACTTCAAGCCCACTATGAAAATTAGATTTTCATAATTAAAATGGGGTTTTAATTACAATAGTGGGAGATATTTAATGTTAAAGACCTAATATTAAATGAATATAAATTCGATAGTCTGATTATTTTCTGCTTCGTTTGTTTTTTGTAGATCACTCTACTAAAATGGCTAAGAATCCAATTGCAAGTATCCTTGAACAAAACAAATTAACTGGACCCAATTTTAATGATTGGCTGAGGAACCTGAAAATGTTTTACAGTCTGAAAAGAGGGACTATGTATTGGACAAAGCCCATCCTCCTCCACCGGAGGATCAGACATCTGATGAGTATGGAGAATACTTACGTCATACTGATGACAATCTCCAGGCTCGGTGCTACATTTTAGCATCAATGTCAAATGAGTTACAGAGACAGAACGAATTGTTGAATAATGCTTCTGAAATCCTCCTTCATCTACAAGAGTTGTATGGTGATAGGACGCGGCAAATTAGATATCAGATATCTAAGGAGCTTTTCAGGTGTCGTATGACTGAGGGCTCTTCAGTTCATGACCATGGCCTAAAGATGATAGCTCTTGTTGAAAGGCTTTCGTCCCTTGGGGTCATTATGGATAATGAACTCTATGTGGATCTCATGCTGCAATCTCTGCCATCGTCATTTGATAACTTTGTTGTTAACTTTAACATGAATAATATGGAGACTTCTCTGCCAGAATTTGTGAACATGTTAAAGACGGCTGAATCCACAATAAAAAAGGATAAGCCGGTACTTCT